GCAAGCAGTAACATCGTTAAGCAAGTGGCTTAACCCCAACCCCTCTGTACATTTGTTAACCCTTTGCATCACCTTGGCGTTGAGGGGCAGCAGGATGGGGAAGCAGGTGAGGAGGAGGCCACGGTCCTGCAGGTGAGGAGGAGCAGGGGATGTGAGGGGCTGGTGGTGGCTGGGGGCAAGTAGCCCCCCACAGTCACATAATGAGCCACTGAGCACTGTGGGAGCAGGGAAGGGGGTTAAGAGACAAGGGATGACAGCCAGGCTGCCCACCCAGTCCCTGGAGCAGCCCCAGTGGTCAGAGACTCAGCAAGGACTCATCTGCACTAGGTGCCCCCTTTGCTCCCACCCCTGTGCATGACAAAATGGATGCACCCACCACAACACAGAGCTAAACCGGTCCTTCCCCCCCCAAAAGGGGAATCACAGACACGTCCAGTGCCTGCTGGAGCCCAGCTTGAACCTGGGTACCAGCTGACCTGGGGCTGTGTGCACCCTAAAATCTGGCATCCCCAGGGGCAGCATGGCCAGGTGCTAGGCACCATGGTGGTGAGCACCCACTGACCTGCTCCAATGCCCCAGCAGCACAGGGACCCCCACAAGGGTGGGTCAGATTTGGGGGTGTTGAAGGGGAGGGTCTCACACACCTAGACCTGGGAAGGCCCCAGGTAATCCCAATTCTCCCCTCCCACTCTGTCACTATTACAAGCATCTCTGCCCAGCTGGCTAAGCCACCCAGGACAGGGTGGAGTCCTGGGGTGCCCAGTGCTGGTGGAGCCATGCAGCCTTACTAGGGGTGTCAAGCTGGCTGTAGTTGGGGATGCGGGTGCTGGAGGGCTTCTTCACCAGGGCAGGGCTGTGTCACTGCAGGAACCAGCAGGCGCATGGGGCCAACCGCTACTCAAGGGCAGCGTTGGGACTGCCCCATTTCCCAGCACTGCCACCCCACAGCAGCCACCAGAGGGGCTGCATGGCCACACGTCTGTTCCTGTCTGTCCCCTCTGCCACAATGCCCTCCTGGCACCAGAAAGCCTCACAGGGGCTGTTTGGGGAGGGCTGGGGAGCAGATAAGCCCTGGCCATTGTGTCCCCAAGACCTACACTTGGGGGGACAGGAACCATGCTCTGGCCAGTGCCAGGACAAGGGTGAACCCTCGTACTCTAAGGGGGCATCAGGGACTGCTCCCAGGACTGGTCCAGCAGGAAGGGGGAATGTGGGTGCAGACTGTAACCTGACTGGAGGGACTGGCTATGCAGAGCCAGCCTGTGTCCTTGGAGAACCCCAGTGGGGGCTCAGAGCCAGAACACCTCCCCACGACACACAGAGAAGAAAGACCTGATGTGCTCTCCTAGCCAGTACCCAGTGCAGCTTTGGGGACAGGACGTGGTGCCAAGTGTCCTCCCTGCAGCCTCCCTTCAAGCACCAGGACCAGGCTGCCAAGGAGGGGGCTCAACTGCTGGCAGCAGCACACAGAGCTGGGGGTTTGTCATGGTTTAAGCTCAGCTGGTAACTTAGAACCATGCAGCCACTAGCTCACTCCCCCCTTTCCCCCCACCCCAGGCAGGATGGGGAGGAGAATCAAAAGAATGTAACTCCCATGGGTTGATATAAGAACAGTCCAGTAACTAAAGTATAATACAATATTACTACTGCTACCACTACTAAGGGAAATAATGAGGGGAAAGAATATAAAACTAAAAAGGGAAGGGAAAAAAAACAATCCAATAAACACAAGTGATGCACAATACAATTGCTTACCACCTGCCAACCCATACCCAGCCCGACCCAAGCAGTGATCTGGGCCTTCTGGGTGACTCCCCCAGTTTCTATACTGGGCATGATGTGCTGTGGGATAAGCACATACCCCTTTGGCTAGTTTGGGTCAGGTGTCCTGTCACTGCTTCCTCCCAGCTTCCCCTCCTCCCTGGCAGAGCATGAGACTCAGAAAGTCCTTGGTCGGAGTAAACATTATTTAGCAACAACTGAAAACATCGGTGTTATCAGCATTGTTCCCAGGCTGAAAGCAAAAAACACAGCAGTGCACCAGCTACTAAGAGGGTGTCCTGCATTTAGCAGTAGCAGTCAATTTTTCTCCTTCTTGGTAGCTGGTGCAGCGCTGTGTTTTGACTTTCAGCCTGGGAGCAGTGCTGATAATACCAATATTTTCAGTTGTTGCTAAGTAATGTTTACCCTGACCAAGGACTTTGTGAGGCTCATGCTCTGCCAGGGAGGAGGGGAAGCTGGGAGGAAGCAGTGACAGGACACCTGACCCAAGCTAGCCAAAGAGGTATTCCATACCACAGCACGTCATGCCCGGGGGGGGGGGGGGGGTAACTGGGAGTTACGCGGAAGGACATGGGCTTCTGGGTCAGACTCGTTTCTTGGAAGGTGGTATTGTATTCTCTTCCCTTGTTATTTTCTCTTATCATTGGTGGTGGTGGTAGCGGTGGTTTGTGTTGTACATTGGTTGCTGGACTGTTCTTGTCTCAACCCGTGGGAGTTGCACTCTTTCGATCCTCCTCCCCATCCCTCCGGGAGCGGGGAAGGGGAGAGCCCCGGGGTGGGGGGTGCCTCGATTGCTTCCAGCCCTGCACCACTCACTGGGAGTGAGTGAACAAGCTGTCTGGCTAGGGTTTAAACCACAACAGAAGGAGAAAAATGACTGCTACTTCTGAACCCAGGACAGGGGTGTTAGGGGATCCCACCCTGCAGGTTTGGCAATGCCTGGCTCTGGGATGAAACAGCATTGCCAAACCCTGGAGCACAGCTGTTGTCAATGGAAAGAGTTGACAAGATGGGGATAAAGCTGTAAATATAAGTCCTGTGTTCGGGGAAGGAACAACCCAGAGAAGCCAGGGTGTGTGCCACCCACCCCCAGCCCCGTTCCGCATCCTGAAGCCATGGCAGCAATGGCACAGGGAGGCCAGGAGTGGATGAAACTGCCTTTATTAAGAAACATGGTTTGCTACAAATATGTCATTGATTTGATTCTTCTTCAAAAAGTAGTATGTCTCAGTGGAAGTTCTAGATATGCAAAAAGTCACAGGGAACACACTGACAAGCCATGGTAGGATTCCTGGCATATTCCAGCCAGAGTGGGCAGAACCAGAGCTGACCCCATGGGAAGCGGGGAGAGGCAGGAGCTGCCCATGCAGCGCAGCGCCTGCCTGTGCTCTCACAGCCTGTGCCTTAAAGTGCTTTACAAAAGCAGCTCTTGCTACCTCTGCTCTGGTGCTGTAGGGCAAAAAGGAAGAGTAAGAGGAAGGGGAGAGGTTAATAGTGCTGTCCAGAGGCAGAGAGTTCCCTGCAAGTGAGAGCTCTGATGAAGGCTGCTCCAGGACACGGGTCCCAGCTAGGGATGGGACAAGGAAACCCTCCCGGGTCCCTTTTCGAGATGCCAGTGCTCTCCATCCCACCAGGGCCATTTCCTGGGCCAGGCAGGTGCCAGCAATGCTGTTAGAGAAGACCCCATCCTTTCTCACTATCCTGGCTTGAGGGAGGGGAGCAGAGCAGCCTTTTCACTGCCTTCTGCCAGGGGAGCAGATGGTCTCTGCATGCTCCTCATAGGGCTGCTGGCAGCACGGGGAGCTCACAGCCCCCAAACCACCCAGTATTATTTAAATCAAAAGTAAAAAACAGGACGGTATTGCTAGAGCAGAGCTGAAGCCAGGTCTCAGATAAACCACTTCTCTGAGCAAGGACATGCAGAGGGATTACTCTCCCACACCTCTTCCCTGTAAAGGGACATGGTGGAGACAGGTCACCAGGATGCTATAGAGCATCTCCTGGATCAACATTTGCCCAGGTGTGCTCTATTCCCAGGGAGAGACCTGGGAAAGGGAGATGCAATACCCTATTTCAAGGGGACAAGATGCTCAGCGTTGGGGACGGGATCCTGCACAGGCAGATGTTCCTCCTGCACACCCATCACCCAGACACAGCCTGGTTGCTCCACAGTGAGTGCCAGCACACCACAACTAACCTTCCTGTTTCTTCACAGACCAAAAACCACACTGCTGACAAGGGAAGGGAACAGCTCAGAAGTAACTGAAGAGGACATCCAAGTGTTTCCCACAGCCCCTGCAGAGTCCCACCCACCAGCCTGGGGTCTGGCTGCTGCCTCCCACCTGATTTCAAATCTAGAGCATGTTTGTTTGTTTTGGGTATTTTTGTTTTAAAAATAGACTTTCTTAATAATGTTCCATAAAAATACCCTTGTCCTTGGTGACAGATATTGCAGTGTGGAGAATAACAGCTTCTGTTCCCACTCTATAAAATGTGGAAAAAGCATCATGCTGATTAATGTAAAAAAATGCAAGAACTCAGTATCACAAGAGCCGGTACAAAATGAGGAAGGTGAGAGTTTCCCTGGATGCCGTCCCTGCAGACTCCTCTGAACCCATTGCTAGCATGAGGGCAACCATCCTGCCCTGGGATTCAGCCTGGCCTAGGCAGCAGCAGTCAAAGGAGGCAGCTCCTGCCTGCAGCACAGGGAATGGGACAGATCAATGTCTCTGGAAATAATCTGGTAGAGTTTAAAAACCAAAAGATGCTCTGTGCAGTTTTCTTCCTTTTCAAAAGGACATGGATGATTGCAGGTTTCAACTAGGGCATTTCTGAATAAAATGTATCCAAGTTTTATGTACCCATTCAATTGCAACAAAGAGCATGAAAACAAATGGTTCCAAAAAGCATCTAATAATAAATAGATCTATACACAGGTATATACTCCATATATGGGTATGAAATACCTGAGGAATGATCCCAGCCCTTTGAAACTGAGTCCACTCTCCTCCCTGCAGCAAAGTTTCTGCTCACTCAGCGGTCCAAGCACGATGCTAAGGAGACTCCACCTTCTTAAACAAGGTGGTATTTGCCCAGAGAGGAGAGGGAAGAGCAGCAGGTCTCCAGGGGGTTAATGAGCTCTGTGCCTCCCTGGTAGGAAGGCTGAGTGTGCAAAAGGCGACAGGGTGGTAATGGGATCCGTTGCTCCACAGTCACCCTCAGTTCTCAGAGAGTGACAGTGCCAGGGCCACCTGCAATGCTGCCTCCTCATCAATGTTATAGTCCTAAAAATTGAGAGGGATGATCAGGAGAAGTGGCACAGCCAGGCTGCAGATTCTCCATCAAGCAGCAGGGTGGACACAGCAGGAGCTCCTTATGGTACCACCAAGGCTGCAAGCCTCCCTCTCCTCCAGCACATGGGTCCCAGGAATGCCATGCTCTTTGGTGTGTCCTTTGTGCCCATGGTCCATCTCCATCCTGGAATCTGCCAACATCAGCCCTGCTCTTAGACCTGGTGGAGGGCAGGGATGAAACATGCCCACACAAGCAGCTGTGGCCAAAGGACAAAGCAAAGCCATGGCACTCCAGTTTGGGTTTATATGACACAATGATCACTCCCTAAGTAAGGATATTTCTCTATAAGTATTTGGAGATTCCTTTCCCTGACTTCTAATGGCCCTGCAATAAATGCAGGATGCTGACAAAACCTCCCCTCAGTCCCTGGAGCCAAGGCTGGGCAATCACACCCTCACTCCCGCTCAGGAGGGGTCAGCAGCTCCTCAGGTAGGGAGCCATGGACACCCCCCACATGCAGCAACCAGCCCCCCCCAAGCCCTGAGGCTGGGCTGCTCCTCTCTCACTGCTTGTGAAGCCCCAAAGAAAAGGGCTTTTGTGTTACAGATCCTCAGGGGAAGAGTTAAATGGAGCATGGGAAGAAACAACTCACCTTCATAGAGCAGTAACATTTTCCTCCTCCAGAGAGGTTTTCCTGGTGTGTTTGATGAGGACCAGCTCAAGCACCCCCAGGGCAGGTGGGGATCCCAGCCCCACAGCCGTGGGGGTCTCCTAATCAGGGCTACACATGTGACATGTGCCTCCCACAAAGCCTGAAGAAAGATCTGTTCCCCTCCCAAGGAGCTGCACAGTGGGTCAGGATGGAGGAAGATAATCTGGTTTCAGCTCACATACTCACCACAAAGGTGTCATAGGAAAACTTGTGCCTGTGGAGAAGGTGCTGGAAGAAGTTGGTGCTCTTGTAGCTGGGGTTCCCCCAGGGCATGGATGAGCAGACTGGGCACACCTGCAGCAGGCAGGGATGAAAGGGAACTGTGACCCTAGGGCACAGACCTTTTTCTGACAGAGGGGTGATATGCAGAGGATGTACTAAAAAGGGGGTCCCTCAAATCCCCAAGCAGATCTCTTGGTGCACAGAGCTTCTAGCATGTGGCTCAGGCTGCTTTTAGCCTGCTGACAAGTTACACATGTATGTGAGCACCTGAGACAGTGCCAGAGCTGCACATTCCCTGCCTCGGTCAACCCAGTGCGGATGGGGAGAGGAAATCCAGCACCACCCAAGTTGCAGGCACAGGGGGATGGAGGCAGCTCATTCTAGAAAGCCTCTAACAAAACAAACAGGCACAAGACACCACGTCCCATCAAAAGGGATCTAAAAAAAAACTAAACCAGCTGGAAACACAGCTCTGCATGCTGGTGACCTTGGTTGCAGCATCAGCTACAGTGTATTAGGATTTCCAGGAGTTACACTGCACAGAACCAGCTCCTCCCAGCACCCCATCATCACTCACCACTTTGTTGGGGTCATTGCGGTGGTTCTCCATGCAGTGCTTTACCAGATCCTGCTGGTCCAAGTTCCGGGCCCCACAGTATGGGCACACAAATGTCGAGCGATTGGGAATATTGCTAAAGAGAGCAAGGATGGGCTCTGATACCCCAGGTAGGCTGCTGCTAGAGGATGTAGGAAGACAGCTAGGAGGACTAAGGCATCCTTAGAATTAAACCTGGCGAGAAGGGTCAAGGACAGCAAAAAGAGCTTTTTCAAATACATGGCAGACAAAACTAACACCAGAGGCAATGTAGGCCCACTGATGAACGGGATGGGTGCCCTGGTGACAGAAGATACAGAGATGGCAGTTACTGAATGCCTTCTTTGTCTCTGTCTACTCTGCTGCAGGCAGTCCTGAAGAGCCCTGTACCCCTGAGACCTTAGATGAAGTCAGATCGATGGAGCAGTTTGCCTTAGTCGATGAGGATTGGGTGAGAGATCAGTTGAGCAATCTGGACATCCATAAATCCATGGGTCCAGATGGGATGCACCCGCGGGTGCTGAGGGAACTGGCGGAAGTCATTGCTAGACCACTCTCCATCATCTTTACCAAGTCTTGGGAAACGGGAGAGGTGCCTGAGGACTGGAGGAAAGCAAATGTCACTCCAGTCTTCAAAAAGGGCAAGAAGGAGGACCCGGGTAACTATAGACTGGTCAGACTCACCTCCATCCCTGTGAAAGTGATGGAACACCTTATCCTTGGTACCATCTTAAGGCATATCAAGGATAAGAGGGTTATGAGGGGCAGTCAACATGGCTTCACCAGGGGGAAATCATGTTTGACCGATCTCTTAGCCTTTTATGGGGAAATAACACGATGGATGGATGATGGCAGAGCGGTGGATGTGGTCTACCTTGACTTCAGCAAAGCATTTGACACAGTCTCCCACAGCATCCTCACAGCTAAATTGAGGAAGTGTGGACTGGATGATCAGGTAGTGAGGTGGACTGCGAACTGGCTGAAGGAGAGAAGCCAGAGAGTGGTAGTCTATGGGTCTGATTCTAGTTGGAGGCCTGTGACTAGTGGAGTGCCTCAAGGGTCAGTACTGGGACCAGTATTATTTAATATATTCATCAATGATTTAGATGAGGGAATTGAGTGTACTATCAGCAAGTTTGCTGATGACACTAAGCTGGGAGGAGTGGCTGACATGCCAGAAGGCTGTGCTGCCATCCAGCGAGACCTGGACAGGCTGGAGAGTTGGGCAGGGAATAACTTGATGAAATATAACAAGGGAAAGTGTAGAGTCCTGCATCTGGGCAGGAACAACCCCAGGTTCCAGTATAGGTTGGGGAACGACCTGTTAGAGAGCAGTGTAGGGGAGAGGGACCTGGGGGTCCTAGTGGATGACAGGATGACCATGAGCCAACACTGTGCCCTTGTGGCTAAGAAGGCCAATGGCATCCTGGGGTGTATTAGAAGGGCGGTGGTTAGTAGGTCGAGAGAGGTCCTCCTTCCCCTCTACTCTGCCCTGGTGAGACCCCATCTGGAATATTGTGTCCAGTTCTGGGCCCCTCAGTTCAAGAAGGACAGGGAGCTGCTGGAGAGAGTCCAGCGCAGGGCAACGAAGATGATTAAGGGAGTGGAACATCTCCCTTATGAGGAAAGACTGAGGGAGCTGGGTCTCTGTAGTTTGGAGAAGAGGAGACTGAGGGGTGACCTTATTAGTGTCTATAAATATATAAAGGGGGAGTGTCACGAGGATGGAGCCAGGCTCTACTCAGTGGCAAACAATGATAGGACAAGGGGTAATGGGTACAAACTGGAACACAAGAGGTTCCACTTAAACTTGAGAAGAAACTTCTTCTCAGTGAGGGTGACAGAACACTGGAACAGGCTGCCCAGGGAGGTTGTGGAGTCTCCTTCCCTGGAGACATTCAAAACCCGCCTGGACACATTCCTGTGTAACATTATCTAGGTGTTCCTGCTCCGGCAGGGGGATTGGACTAGATGATCTTTCGAGGTCCCTTCCAATCTCTAGCATACTGTGTGTGTGAAAGGACTCGATTGACTCCTTCTGTTATAAATGTGGCTCAAATAAATTGACGAGAGCCAGACCAATGAATCAAATTGGTTTATTGAGCAAGCGACAACAAGCAAAACAGCGCTGGGCGGCCGGGGAGTCTCCGCTCAGCCAACGGCATGCACCCACTTCCCCAAAGTCACAGGTTTTATACTCTTCTTCATCCGATATACGTGTCACCTCCTGGCGTCCTCTGCGTCTGTGTGATCTGTAGATAAGGGGTCTCATTCTGTCTCCCGATGGGTGTGGGGAGGAAGGCTCCTTATCTCCTTCGGGGTTTCATTCTGTCTCCCGTTGGGTGTGGGGAGGAAGGCTCCTTATCGCCTTCCCCATGCATTGTTTACTTTAACGGATACCCGCGGTCTATAAGCAACATGTCAAAGCACCGTAATTTTCCAGTAACTATTAAGCAAGCAAGTAATTCTAAGCAAGTAACTCCTAAGCAAGCAAGATTTGATTAACAAACAGGAAATTACTCATTGCAATCCCCCCTTTTTCTGTTTGCCATTTTGTTCATCAAATCTTTGGAGTGTTGCGTGGCTTAAAATTAAGACGTCTTCTACTGCAGATTCCTTATGTAGTGGCTCGTATTGAGCCCTAATGAGCATCAAGTGGGCAGCCTCCAGCCTGCTTTTTACAATTGCAATCACTTTGTTAAACACACAGGCTAAAAGTTAGTCTCAGAATTAACAATATTAAGGGCCCTGCAATGGTAGACAATAATGTAGTCAACCATGGAGAGTAATTAAACCGTGACTCATACCAACTTTGTTGGGCTTCTCGCTCCCTTTTTCTTTTTTCTAGTCCTTCTTGTAGCTTGGTCATGGTATCTCTTACAATTCCAGTATGATCCGCATACACACAACATTCTTCCTTAAGTGCGGCGCAAAGCCCTCCTTGTTGTAGGAACATTAGGTCTAATCCTCTTTGATTTTGTAACACTACTTTAGATAACGACCCTACAGATTTTTCTAGGGCACTTATGGATTGTTCAATTCTGACTAAGTCCTCATCTACAGCCATTCTTAAGGTGTGAAATTCTTTACTTTGTTTTACTAATGAGGCTATTCCTGTACCAACTCCTGTACCTCCCAAGATCATTAAAGCTGCTATCGTTAATGCAGTGAAAGGTTCTCGTTTAAACAGGTGATGGTCTTGGGCAGTCTGGTGGTCATACATAAAATTTTCAGGATGGTAAAGATTTCTTGGTATTATCATGACTTGGATACAAAAATCTGAGGAATCATTAAACAATTCTAGCGACAGGCAAGGGGTTACACCTATGTTTCAGCAAGCCCACTTGGCATTTTTGGCTGGTAATAACCACTTTGCTGTTTTTTTCTGTTTAGCAGCAATTGTATTAACTTCACATAGATGTTTTTGACGTTTTGGAATTTTTCCTACACATCTGCCCTTCCCAGTGACCTGAGCCAATGTTATCCCTTGATTTTCCTTTCCCCATGTACATTATGCTGGGTTAGAACCATTTACACACCTAGCCTTTGTAGTAACTCCCACTGCTTCATAAAAAGGAGGCTTTATCCCATAACATAGCCAGCAATGTTTGGTTAGGTTGCGATTGGTGGCATTTAACAACTGGTAACTAGCTTTCATTAATTTCCAAAGAAAGTTGTCTCTATGTCCTGGGTTCAGCAGTAGCAGTCATTTTTCTCCTCCTTGGTAGCTGGTGCAGTGCAGTGTTTTGACTTTCAGCTCGGGAACAGAGCTGATAGCGATGTTTTGGTTTGGCCAAGGACTTTGTGAGCCTCATGCTCTGCCAGGGGGGAGGGGAAGCCAGGAGGAAGCAGAGACAGGACACCTGACCCAAACTGACCAAAGAGGTATTCCATACCACAGCACGTCATGCCCAGGAGGTAACTGGGAGTTAGCCGGAAGGGCTGGGAGACTGCAGGGTTGGAGGAGGTATCGGTCGGAGCTTGGTCGGGCTTGGGGGGCGAGTTATCGGTCAGCGGGTGGTGAGGTGTTGTATTCTGTTCCCTTGTTATTTCCTTTATCATTATTATCATTGGTGGTAGCAGTAGTGATTTGTGTTATACCTTAGTTACTAAACTGTTCTTATCTCAACCCGTGGGAGTTGCATTCTTTTCGATTCTCCTCTCCGTCCCTCCGAGAGCAGGGGGAGGGCAAGAAAGGGGGGGAAGTGAGCGAACGAATTACCTGACTGGGTTTAAACCACAACACTCTATTACTGTCCTTAGGATTTTGAGTGTCATTTAATACGAGATTCATTGAGTTGTTGGAAATTATTGTGTCATTTTTAACCCCCACTTCATCTATTTTAGGAATTTCCTCTGATGGTTTTTTTCTGCTAATACATTATTAGGTCCTACGGGTTTAGGATCTTGTGGGATTGGTTCCTTCTTGATTAAAATGAGGCCCCCGCTATAGGCTCCTGGCTCCTTATATCATACCTCCCAAGTTTTCCCCATTATCCACCCTTGGTCAAAAGGGTTCGTTACATTAATCATAAGGTGCTGATAGTTCCCCAGTTCGATTCTCCCACGGGGAGCCAATACTACTCCTCCATTCCATTTTTTTTTTTTTTTCCAGAGGGGTGCATCCATAAGGCCCCCATTGTACCCTTAAAAACTTGTCCGGATTTACAGGGACCCAATCTGAGGCTATTGTTTCGCATCCCCAGTAGGCACAATAATATTCCCCGGGGTGATTACAATATCCTCTTCCTGGATTTGAACTTGGGCAGAAGTAAAATCCCACACAATCTAAACACGGGCTTCTAGGTACTAGTTGACAGAGGCTAGCAGTAAAAGTGGGCCCTCCTGATGTGGTTATACTTTGGACTACTTGTTGATCTTCCCATCTGTACAAGGTCCACTTGAAAGGTTGATGGACATATCCTTTTACCGAGATTAATGTCCATCCCCATATCCAATAGATGATCCAGAAAATTGGTGGGTTACCTCCTCTCATAAATCCGGATTTCCAATCCTTCCCTCGAAATTTGGTAGGGGTCTTACTACCTACCTGGCCCATCCACTTAATTTGCGCCTCTTTCCACCCTAAACTTTTGG